TGTCGCGTGACGCAATGGTGCGAGGCCGCGGCAGAAAGCGGTGGTGCGAGGCGGCAGCAGCGGGACGCGGTGGTGTAAGGCCGCGTCAGCTAAACGCCGTGCTGCTGCCTAGGCCGCGGCGGCAGGGCTGTTGGCGACGGCTATGCTATTGGCGGTGCCTAGGGCTTCCTCGCTGCTCCGCCGTTGCCGCTCCGAGGGGATGACGGGAGCAGGGAGGCTAACTGACCTACGTGGGGAAAAGGGAGGACCCAGCGACGACGGCGGCGGCGGCGGCGACGACGTGCACGCAGAGGTGCTACACCCGCCATGAGTAGCAGGAGCTCGGGGACGATGCGAGTCTCCGCCCACAGAGCAGACGAGGGAGAGAGACTTTGCGGCGACGACAGAGTGAAAGGGGAACGGGCCTCTCGGGCCGGTGCGGGGCGAGAAATCCACCGGGCAAATAGGTGCGCAGATTAGTACCATACCGAAAGTTTAATTAGGAAGTGGCCGGTTTATTAGGCCGAATTCTACTAGTTGTATTGCCAACACAGGGATATGCACGACTGTCATCTGTGAAAAGATGCCAAAGCGCACAAATAAAAAAGGCCACCGAACCCAACCCGTGACCCAGCATCAAAAAATGCACCGGGCTTTTTGCTTAAATTCTTTTTTTAAAGCTTTTTTTACATTAACAAAACGCGTCAGCGGCGAGGCGTGTCCAGCACCTCTTGCCAGTTGTCGATCATCACTTGAACAACTCTAGCACCACCAACATCGTTGGGATGTACCTATAACAGCAAAAGTCGGAAAGCCAACCATGCCAACTAGCGTGTCTGGCTGTGGCGACCATGGAAAGGAGTGCTCGAAGCCAGCCATGGCGTCCGCTCGCAGCTGCCGCGAGGTTTGCTTGTAGCGGCCAGGGCGTGTCACGCGGCTAGCTTTTTGGTGACCTTCCTCTTCGTATTTTGCTATGGGGAAGAAGAAATGGGGTGAGTGGGGAATCAAACATTCTATGAAAGAGCGGGAATTCAAACCGAGTAAGGTTGCTAGATCGTAAAATAGGGTAGCTCATTGTCTTGTGAATTATGCATGGACAGCTCGAAGCACTGCTTGTTGGCTGCATAGAGCTCCATTTTTTGTTCAAGATCTTGTATAGCTGATTGTAAACCTACTGAACTGAAATAAAAAACCTGATTCCACGCAAAAAAAGGGGGGATGAGCAGCGGAGGAGATGGAGATGTGCTGCTACAACAACGAGAGAGATATTTCAGAGGGTGGGAAAGAAATAAGAATAAGAAGGGCGGTGCTGCCCCCCACAAGAACGTGGGTGGAAGGTGCAATGGCAGGACGCTTACAGCCGTCTCCCGTGCGTGCGATCTAGCTAGATCGGACACGTCGTGTACGCCCGGCTCAAAGTTGCGCCGGCCAGCCGTATTCAAACATCCCATTTTCTATTATACCAGCAAACCGTCTGACTATCTCCTTGTATTGCTTCCCAGGGCACTGCCATACAATGTACACAAATCAAATTCCACGTGAAGTGCTTATGATAGAGGACAAAACCATACAGACACTTACATGCAAGCTGGTGAATCTTATCCAGAGTCCCGCTCTGCGGGGTCTCCGCATGATCACTAAATCAGTAAGTAGCTACAAGTGGCTCCTTGAGCTGTTTGGCTAGAGGAAGAAGAAGGGCAAGGCTACCTCTCATGTTCTCTATATGTGGTGTGTGTGATTCTAAGAGATCAACCCTTTGCATGGGTGGCCTGGGGGGTTTATATAGGCCTACCCCCAAGGGTACAATGGTAATCCAGCTGAGTGTGGACCCAGACCGTCAGTGTCTATGGGCGTCGGCTTCTTCGCCGGGCGCTGGGGCCCGCCGACTGGTGGGTCCCGCCGGCTGTCGGCCTCTTGGCGGACAGGTTGGGCCCATAGCTTGTGGGCCCTGTTGGCTGCTTGTTACTGTAGCCTTGCCCCTAATGACGATGGCTTTGTTGGGGCGGGCGTGGCTAAAGTGCCGCCTCCTGGCGGGTGTTTACTGTAGCCCCACCCCGTCTTATCTGGTTAATGGTGCACAAACTTCCAGTGTGAGGGTAGGCCGACTGTTGGGAGCCGGCCTATCCCCATGCCGACTGGTTCGGTCATGCCGCCTTCTGGTAGCTCACTCGCAGGTAGGGCCCGCCGCCTACAAGCCGTACCGACGGCTCGTCGTGGGGGGCATGGTTGTCCTGCCATGGGTGATGTCATGGTCAATCTGACAACAATGTTGCGCCGGGCGGGGGATGGCCGCCCGGTACGGTGCACTGTGGCCATGCTTGCTCCGGGATTCAGGGGCGACAGGCTTCACTGTAGCCACGCCCCGTCTTATCGCCATTGTGTGGGTGCAAACTTTGAGGGTGCATGACGGGCCGCCTGCTAGGAGTCGGGCACTCTGGTGGTTGCTTGCTAGGAGTCGGCCCACTTCGGGGCGGCTTGCTGAACCTTGCCCCCTTCGTGCAGCCGGCCGCTTGGACCAGTCGGCCACGAGAAGGCGGCCCTTCGTCTTGGATGCTTGAGGGGCGCAGTGGGCCCGATGTCTTGAAAGCCAGGGGGAGCTGATAAGGCTACCCGTGGTCATTTACTCCGACAAGGCTGATCTCTAACCTGCATTATGATCTTGGGGATAAAGCTCTCATCGTCATGCCCACATCTGGTTCAGAGATATAGGTGTTGGCCGTTTTGTCGTTGTCCTTGGCGAAACAATAGGCAGGCACCTGCCGTTCTGGGTCCACCGGCACCGCTTCTGGCATTAAGCTAATCACATGTGCAATCCACCCTACGGGGTCACATAAATTTCAGCGAGGTCCTACAAATTTAGGTTTATTTTTGAGACATCAGTGAAAAATTCATGTACGTTTTTGTGAACCCTGCTACTCCCCGCGTTACATTATCATTAATGAAACTGGATACCACATCCAAGTTTACAGTAGTTCATGCTCCCAAAACCAAAATCCAAAGACGAAAAACCAAGTCCTGCAAGTACGTTGTTTACTATCAGTATGATGCACACCTCTCTCTGTCAGAGCCTTGTATACAAATTTATCTGTCATATCATATCTTTAGCGACCATTCATGAATCTGCAACTTTGGTCCTATCAACAGATAGAGGCAAAGCCAAATGTCTTACTGGTCCGAGTTCAAGTTTACGACCAAATTAAACATGTCTTCAAGTAATGTTACCTCCTGCTTGCTCAAGATCTATTGCAAAGAGAAGATACCAATTTCTAGGGGCACAAAAACTGTATTATTTTTTCTCAATCTATACCTTCTTATAAAAAAATCTTCACAGCCATGGCCCCTGTAGAGTTACATGTAGCTCCGCCAGTGGTGGTGTGAGCTTCACTTAGACTAGAAGATGTTCCTTTGTGACAAAGCAAGTTGCAGCAACTGTCTTTATGTGTGCCTTAGCGAGATGCCATAATTCCTTTATGAATTTATACAAATTAATCTCATCATTAACACATTGTTCTTATCTCTCTGTTTGACTTAAGAATGGTTATACCAGTTTTAGATGGCACATCTTGATTTGAAGCAACGATCGGCACTTGATCCTATCGACCGAACCATATCTTCTATTGCACGGAAGCAGCATTGGAACTGTCCAAGCAAACGATTGGCAATCCCATCCGAGGGGCACGAGAGCGGCACCGGAGTTGTGTGTACGAGTTTCTTGCGAGCTTGAGAATTATAGTAACAACCTCCTATTGAGCCCCTTTTATTTAGTTCAGTTGCTCTGCATTTGGCCTCCTTGTTCCTTTGTCTGTTCTACCCTGTCATCGATTGTTCTTCTGCACTTCCCCTCTCCCCAATCTAGCTGCTAAAACTTGTTTTCTGGCTCCAAAAACATCCTAAGTTCAAATGATAATTTTTTAACATGATCGTATGTCCAAGTAAGCAAGTGAGTTTTTTTCTCCCGTACAAACCATCATCAATTCAAAGATTGCGTTTGAAAGAAAATAATGTCACCACCCTGCGATTGTGCTCATGTGCTGAAATGGTTGTTTGCACTACAAACCTAGCTCCAGTTACACCTGTACAAATTCTAGCCTTAAGTAGAATTGACCGTTGAGTAATACTACCCCAATGTTACTTCATTGGCAGCTATCTCAAGCATCGCCCTGTCCTGTAGTATAAAGTTTAAGTTCCATATCAGTTCTGCACCTATCATTTCTTCAGGTCAAAACTCGTTCTAAAAGTTGAACAGAGTGCTAGCTGGTGGAACTTCCCTGATCCTGATTTCAGGTGAAAGGCTCAGTTCTGTCACTGCCCATCTTCTCATTTCCGGCATGGAGAGTGAGTGAATTATCTGAATAAATGATTTCTAATTCGTAGAATGACAAATGTTTCCTTCTTTTTCTTTTTTTTGACTGAATGTTTTCTTCTTTTTCAACAGGCTCTGCAACAGTTGGAAAACAGCTGATAACTTGTCAAAATTAGTTGCAGAAGACGTAACGGTAAATGCATCATCAACTACTTCCCAAAAGTTGGGTAGCTTTTCATTAGTTTCCCAAAAAGTGATTGAATGAAAAGTTAGTCATGATTCTATTTCCTTCAGATACTAGTATGCGGGCAGAGTCTCACAGTGCATTGATCTGGGAAGATGACTAGTGATGTAGGAAGAGACAAAAAAAGGGAGGCGGGATATGCAAGCTGTAGGACTATCTGAATTTTTACTTGGATTATCATCACTTCCCGACTAAAATTCTTGATCAAGTGATACATGCTTGTCATGGTAGTCGTGGACATTTGCAAAAAATTGCAAGTGATACATTCTTGATCAAGTGATTTGGATATCAACTTATATACTCCCTCCGTTCGGAAATACTTGTCATCAAACTAGATAAAAGGGGATGTATCTAGATGTATTTTAGTTCTAGATACATCTCTTTTTATCCATTTTGATGACAAATATTTTTGGACGGAGGGAGTACTTAAGTTTTGTTGGACTGCAATATATCGCGCTTAACATATTACGGTTCCTAAAGCTTTGCATATTTCTTGATGCCCTTCTCATAGCTCTTCATTTCCTCTGGTGTTGACAAGTTGGTTAGTAGGGTAACCCTTGCTGATGATACCAAATCTTTGTGCTCCGATGTGTTAGGATCCAACAGCCATATCTGGACCTCCCAAACCTGTCAGATTCACCATGATTTTTTTAGCATATACAGACACTTTTGACTGACAAATTGTGCAAATAACTGAAATACCTGAAGAAACAAGAAAAATATAGAAGAGGAGCCATATGCACATCTATAATTGTAGATTGAGTTAAGTGAGTCTTAACAAAGTATATTCCGATAGCATGACACGTGGACATTCAATGGTTAATCATGGACTGCTGCAATTAATCTGACCCCATCCGTCACTTTCTTGTGCAGAACAACATTTTTCTTCTTTTAGTGTGTTTGAGAAGAGAGATGTGTTAGCCGCCAGAGAAGACTTGTGAGGCAAGCAGAAGTGTCAAACTTGTGCAGCTCATCTTTTCCAATTACAACACTATTGCTGCTTTCTGTTGCTTTTTCTAACCCCCAACCAACCCGGAATCTTGACCATTCCTTCCACATGCAGCAGCTGACTAATCAAATTGCAGATGCAGTAAGCCAGCAACAGACTGGCTTTTATCAATTGATCTGCACGATGAACCAGCGAATGGAACTAGGGGAATTTTGTCTCGTGTGGGGATAAAGTTATGTTGGATTGTACGTACCTGGACGTTGCGGCCGACCTGGATGGGGTTCGCCTTGGCCTCGATGCGGTCGCCGAGGCGGGCGGGCTTGAGGTGGTTGATGGAGAGCTGCACGCCGGCCACTCTCCGGTACCCGGACGCCATGTACCCGCCGATGCTCGCCGTCGACTCCGCCATCAGCGCCGAGACGCCGACGTTGAGAATCTTGAAGGGCTGCGACCACGCCAACGGCAGCGACTGATTAAGACGATCACGGCGCGACTACATACACACATGGTCTGGCAAGACGGTCAGTGGCGGCGGCGACGAGCGCGCATAGTACCTGGCAGCAGGTCTCGGTGACGGCGAGGCGGCCGAGGACCTCGCTCCCGGTGATGCGGGTGAACTCGAAGCCCAGGGCGTGCAGAGCGTTGTCCGGCGGGGCACCCTCGCCGAACCCGGGGGGCGGCCCGGGAGGCGACGCCGCCGTAGTTCTCGCGCTTTCGCCGGAGCCTGCCATCGGTATCCCTGACCTGCGTGATTGCGGATTGCGGTCGTTTTTGTACCTTTCGAACACGGGGAGCAGAGCCAGCAGATATAAAGACGCGGAAGGAAGGCGATAACGAATTGGTCCTCACGAGTTTTATTTTTTCTACATCAAATTCGTCAGGGCGAGTTATATTAGGCAAATTAGCGGAATGGGGTGCCGGCTGGGCGTTCGGTTTATTCGGCATTTTATAATTTCGGTTTTGGAGAAATGAAAACCGAAATAATCACATAATATTTAGAAACCAAACCATATTAACCATAATAATTTTTTACGATTAACCGAAAAACCAAAATACATGCACTCATCAGAATATATCACAAAGAGCTAGCAACCTTAACATCAGTCACTGCTTTATTCGGTCAGGCAAACTAGTGAACATAACTAAGAGTAAAATCATATGGCGTGTTACATGTATTATGTACGGAAGAATATGTGTGATGCATGTACACTAAGCAACTCATGCACTAACCGATACAGTAATTGGTAGTTACATCCACAACCAAGAGCCGGGCATGCATACATTGATACATACTCCTACGAGATATTGCATGGATAGAAATCTTATAAGTACATGCTACTCCCTCCGTTCTTAAATATAAGTCTTTGGAGAGATTTCACTATAAACCATATACAAATGTATGTAGATGCATTTTAGAGTATAGATTCACTCATTTTACTTTGTATGTAGTCTATAGTAAAATCTATATAAAGAATTATATTTAAGAACGGAGGGAGTAGAAGAATACAGCCATTGATTATGTTGCATTCAAACAATAGTAAAATAATCTAAACAGATCCAATTAGCCATGTTAGCATGGACTTAATGTAGGAGTACTAGTTAGATTGAGATTAGAAACGCCTGCCACAACCAACAAGTATTTGCCTGTGATTGCTAGCTCGCGGGAGTCGGATGCATGTTGAGTTGTTCGTCAAAGCATGGAGAGAACGCTGCCTGATTTACTTTCGGAACAACTAACGTTCACACGTGTAAGCGTTTGCACATCGTTTACATGCCTCCATCACCACTCATTTTGCCACGTATGAACAGATGACATCAGTAGAAAATTTTGGGTTTTTGGCTTAAAAATATGTTATCTTCTAATTAAAAAAGCAAATTAAAAATATGTTTTCACCATTAAATCCGTCTCGACGAAATCTTCAAAACTAGACCCCATGTTGATATGTTTCGACGAATTTTTTTTGGAAAAAGATTTCCTTCAACCGACTGATTTTTCCAGTGCACCCGTCGCCTCCCATGGACGACACGTGTCCCAGTCATCACATACACCGCTTCGTCCTTGCTGCCTTATCTTCTCCTCCGAGCACTCCCATCCACATCTTCTCTCCTTTCCCAACTCATTCAGTGTCCTCCACCACGCACAACGCCTAGGATGGAGAGCACCCATGGACGTAGATGCAAGCAGCAGCTAGTGACTTCAACAGCAAGCGCTCACGGGGAGCATGCTAGGTAGACGGCCAACGCGACCGGCGACAAGGTCTGGCAACGCTCAGGACGGGAGCTGGGGTTGAATGGCCTTGCGGTTGGTGGCAGCGATGGCGGGGATGGGCAGCGCCGCCCCTTCCCGCGGGCGCAAGCCAGCAGCGGCTCCGCTTCCCCTCATAGCCGTCCCCGGCCGTTGTTTCAGGAATTGTTCCTGCAATCTTCAAATTTTTGCAACATGGTAGTTGTTTCTGCAACACAATCATTGTTTCGGGAATTGTTTTCTACAACGCGATTGTTGTTTCAGGAATTGTTTTTGCAATGCGACCGTTGTTTCTGCAACTGGTTTGTTATTTCAGGAATTGTTTCTGCAACGTGACCGTTGTTTCTGCAACTGGTTTGTTGCTTCGGGAATTAATGTGTCGGGAAGGCGACGCGCGTGTGCGAGGAGTTAGATCGGACGGCTTGCGCGCGGAGATCTGACGGCTGTCGAGGTGGTGGATGTTTAATAGACATCCACCGGCGGACGCGTAGCAGCTCCCATTTTTTTTGCCCAAAAGTTGTCATCACGTTTACACTGTAGGTGCCATAGTGCTTAAACTAAAGTTGCCATGTGACAATTGTAGTTTATAGATCATGGCAGTTTTAGGGATTGTTTGGTTCCCAGCCACAATTTTCTAAGTCAAAATTTGGAAGCCACAGTTTGCAAGCATGTGTTTGGTTTTTGCCACACTTTATTGCCCCTATGGCCCACTTATCAAAGAGACAATTTTTTTGCCAACTTTTGTCAAAGTTTGGCGTCCAATTTCTTAGCCACACTTGTGTGGCTTGCCATACTTGTGTGGCTAGCCACACTTTGGTTTGGCCACACTAGTTTCCAACCAAACAGACCCTTAGTTTTTCGATGATGGCAATTCCAGTACTTTGATCATGAAAATATTTTTTTGTATGAACCATGGCAATTTTAAGCGCATGTATTATGTCAATTTTAATTTATAGTGCATGGCAAGTCTAGTTTCTTAATTCCTCGTTTTATAATATGTCAAAATTTACTTTTAAATGTAGAAGAAAATAGTTGAAACATATCATGGCAACTTCAGTGTTAAACATCATGGCAATTCATGTGCAACAGACACGGCAACTTTAAACCAAAAAAAATTCGTCGAAATATATTGATATGAGATCTAGTTTCAAAGATCTCGTCGCGGGGGATTTAATGGTGAATACAGATCTTCAATCGGATTTTTCATTTAAGAGATAAAACATTTTAAATACAGAAAATCCAAAAAGATTTCCACATGCATGCATGCGGTGACATGACGTAGTCTTTGTGCTATAGGACGGGTGGGCGGGTTGGACGAGGATCCCCTGACGTGCGGCAGGGTGCCGCTCCATCACTAGCACGTCGGCCCAGCTAGAACTTGGTCCACCTGACAGCGGCCCAACGGCAGGTGTCGTACGTCAGAGGAGCTCTCTCCGGGCGGGTTTGGCTCCCACTACTGAAGGAAATATGCCCTAGAGGCAATAATAAAGTTATTATTTATTTCCTTATATCATGATAAATGTTTATTATTCATGCTAGAATTGTATTAACCGGAAGCATAATACATGTGTGAATACATAGACAAACATATAGTCACTAGTATGCCTCTACTTGACTAGCTCATTAATCAAAGATGGTTATGTTTTCTAACCATAGACATGTGTTGTCATTTGATTAATGGGATCACATCATTAGGAGAATGATGTGATTGACATGACCCATTCCGTTAGCCTAGCACTTGATCGTTTAGTATGTTGCTATTGCTTTCTTCATAACTTATACATGTTCCTGTAACTATGAGATTATGCAACTCCCGTTTACCGGAGGAACACTTTGGGTGCTACCAAACGTCATAACGTAACTGGGTGATTATAAAGGAGTACTACAGGTGTCTCCAAAGGTACATGTTGGGTTGGCGTATTTCGAGATTAGGTTTTGTCACTCCGATTGTCGGAGAGGTATCTCTGGGCCCTCTCGGTAATGCACATCACTATAAGCCTTGCAAGCAATGTGACTAATGATTTAGTTGCGGGATGATGCATTATGTAACGAGTAAAGAGACTTGCCGGTAACGAGATTGAACTAGGTATTGGATACTGACGATCAAATCTCGGGCAAGTAACATACCGATGACAAAGGGAACAACGTATGTTGTTATGCGGTTTGACCGATAAAGATCTTCGTAGAATATGTAGGAGCCAATATGGGCATCCAGGTTCCGCTATTGGTTATTGACCAAGAATAGTTCTAGGTCATGTCTACATAGTTCTCGAACCCGTAGGGTCCGCACGCTTAAGGTTTCGATGACAGTTATATTATGAGTTTATGAGTTTTGATGTACCGAAGGAGTTTGGAGTCCCGGATGAGATCGGGGACATGACGAGGAGTCTCGAAATGGTCGAGACGTAAAGATCGATATATTGGACGACTATATTCGGAGTTCGGAAAGGTTCCGAGTGATTCGGGTATTTCTCGGAGTACCGGAGAGTTACGGGAATTCGCCGGGGAGTATATGTGCCTTATTGGGCCATACGAGAATAGAGGAGAGAGGCCGAAAGGAAGGAGGCGCGCAGCCCCCCTCTGGTCCGAATTGGACAAGGGGTGCGGCCCCCCTTTCCTTCCTCCTCTCTCCCTCTTTCCCCCCTTCTCCTACTCCAACAAGGAAGGAGGAAGTCCTACTCCCGGTGGGAGTAGGACTCCCCTTGGCGTGCCCCTTCTAGGCCGGCCGCCCCCTCCCCCCTTGCTCCTTTATATACAGGGGCAAGGGGGCACCTCTAGGCACGACAACACAAGTTGATCTACGGATCATTCCTTAGCCGTGTGCGGTGCTCCCCTCCACTATATTCCACCTCGGTCATATCGTCGCGGAGTTTAGGCGAAGCCCTCCGCCGGTAGAACATCATCATCGTCACCACGCCGTCGTGCTGACGGAACTCATCCCCGAAGCTTTGCTGGATCGGAGCCCGGGGATCGTCATCAAGCTGAACGTGTGCTGAACTCGGAGGTGCCGTACGTTCGGTGCTTGGATTGGTCGGATCATGAAGACATACAACTACATCAACCGCGTTGTGCTAACGCTTCCGCTTACGGTCTACGAGGGTACGTGGACAACACTCTACCCTCTCGTTGCTATGCCATCACCATGATCTTGTGTGTGCGAAGGAAATTTTTGAAATTACTACGTTCTCCAACAGTGGTATCGGAGCCAGGTTTTATGCGTAGATGTTATATGCACGAGTAGAACACAAGTGAGTTGTGGGCGATATAAGTCATACTGCTTACCAGCATGTCATACTTTGGTTCGGAGGTATTATTGGATGAAGCGGCCCGGACTGACATTACGCGTACGCTTACGCGAGACTGGTTCTACCGACGTGCTTTGCACACAGGTGGCTGGCGGGTGTCAGTTTCTCCAACTTTAGTTGAATCGAGTGTGGCTACGCCCGGTCCTTGCGAAGGTTAAAACAGCACCAACTTGACGAACTA